GTCATTATGCCTATGATTGCTTAGGATATATTGGCCTAGGATTGTATTCCTAGAAAATTTCTTGCGACTACAGTACCAGCGTTGGTTAAAGCAATCCCAATATTGAAGTTTAATGCCACGCTTATTGTAATTGTGACAATCAGGCTCCAGAAGATAAACTACTCCTTATATGGAAATTGTATTCGTTTTAACAACAAATTCCTAAGCGAAATTAGAGAATTGTCACTAAATAAAATAAATTAATATATAGCTTTTCATAAATTTGACGAATATTTTAATGATCCTAATCCTTGGGATTGATTTCCTCCTGTTCAAACAATTTTTATGACTCAAAACATAGCGATTAAAAAGAGTGGCGAAGGGTTTCTTGCCAGTTCTTCATGCCCGCTCTACGCCCTTGACTTGCGAACTGGTAGTAAATGTAAATTTACAATTAATTTAACTTCTTTTCTGACGTTCATAAGTGTACTTGTTTACCTATATGAATAAAGTTATATTGAGTTTGTCATTGAGTTTTCTACAGCTTCTATATAAATTGTAATGTATTAATTATTCGTTCGAAAACAGTCCTAAAGCCTACCCTCGAAATAAAAAAGCCCTTCATAAAATTGACTCGTTATTACAAAAAGAAAGGAGCTGTATTAAAATGTCACGTAGCACTGTAATTTAACACCCAATTTGTATTAGAAATGTGTCTGGAATTCGAAAAGGGGTAAAATCGGTTTTCGCGGAATTCCTTAGTTAAATTTGAATTTCTTTATTTGAAATTTGTACAGTTTTTGACGTCTATAAGATACTTGTATTAACGGTGAATAAAATATGAATTTTTCGATTGGGTATTAATAGAATTGAATTATCTATAGATAGATACACATTGTTTTATAATAAAGTTAAGTTAATTTCACGACTTGTAATGATAAATGACGATAAACGACGAAAAACAAAATATGATGATCTATGTATTTATAATATAATATTTATTGTATACTAACATTCAAAATTGATTCATATATTCCCACGGATTGTTAATCAGGCTTTCAATACAAAATGTTATTTCCAACACACACGTGCGCCTATTTTATTGATTCGTTTTAACGGGTGACAAAATCAGACTCTTCTACTCCGAAATTCTTGTTCTCGACACTATGAACCTAAAGCTTTTGAAACATTTATTAAAAGGTGAATTGGCACGTGGTCTAGATGATGAACGCGATCTTCTCGATCTTAGACTATCAGGACCTGCTACGAAGTGCGCATACGTTGGTTTATTCGCTCCTTGGTTCCGGGGATCGTGGCTCACAAGATGAAAGACTTACCTTACTATTTGTTAATGATCAGGTAAGAATTTTTAACCTTTGAAAATATAAAAACTAAATATGTTTATATTGTCGTTTTATAAGACAATAGTTTGTATTTCAACTGACAAGAGGCTAAATATTGAGTCAAACTTCTATTTGTTTCTCTGTAAGTAAAGAATGCGGCTACAATTTTATGTTATCGAGTAGTTTGACTACACCTGATCCACAAGCCTGGGGGTGGCCCGTCCGCTCTTATTTTGTTCAAATTTCCCCCAGGGCCGCCCCACCCCCCTTTTTTTTTTTCCCCCAACATAAAGACTTCAACACAATTCTACTGTAATGTAAATAAACGACAATAAAAGTTTATTGTTATCTCCACCCTTATGCATATAGCTTAATCTAAGTATGAAATTAATTAACAAATAAGTAACTGTAACTCACTTTTCGAACTCACACAGCGGTTTCCTCAGCGGCGGTCGCGCTTAAATCAGTCGTAAAGCAGTCATTTTACTTTTTTCTAGTACACATTTTCAGTGGGCTTTCTTCAAATAAATATTAGGATGTGAGGGAAGGAGTGATAGAGGGAGGTATAAAATCTAGCCATAGATTATAATAGATATCTAAGCATTGTGTAAAAGCAGGCATATATAGATATTCATGTAAGAGGAAGTTGTCCAACATATTGTCCGGTTAAGGAGAAGTTTCCAACCGGACACCTAAGATTATGACGCGTGGTCGCGCTAACTTACAAACAAGTGAGAACTTCTCTTAGCGCTTTTGTGTTGATCGCTTTTGTTCATCTTAATTGAATTCAATATTATCTACTAAGATCTTTGCAAGACATAAATATGAAATACTTGTGTAATTCACTGTAATACAGGGGTCTAGAATATGATTTTGTCCCATTCGGTGTCGAGACCCTTGGTACGTGGGGTCCTAGCGCTATAAGGCTTTTTAAGGAAATAGCAAAAAGGTAAGTCAACATCACAGGAGACCGAAGAGCTGGCAGCTTCCTTATACAAAGAATTAGTCTAGCTATTCAAAGGGGGAACGCTGCCAGTATCTTTGGAACCTTGCCTAAAGGGACTTCTTTTAATAATATATTTTAGTTATTATAATTTAAGTTATAGTTATTATTTTTTGTTATATTAAAATGAAATGCTTCTAATTTTACATTTACAGTTCTCAAATCAAGGGCGTAGAACGGAAAAGCGTAGGCATAGGCCGGTTTCCTCACGATGTTTTCCTTCACCGTTAGAGCGTAAGAAAGTCACGTCAGTCAGTCGATTGGTGCACAGCCGGGGATCGAACGTACGACCTCAGGGATGAGAGTAGCATGCTGAAGCCACTAGGTCAACACTGCTCTCTAGTTTTTGACATATGGGTATAATATATATATATATATATATATATATATATATATATATATATTATATGTATATATTTTTTTCTTTTCAGTTTAAAGGTGTTAAATAAATACACAAATAAAATCTACGATCTAATGATGATTTTTATTAGCTGACTGAATATTGAACTCCCTAGTGTGGATACTAGCGATAGATGAATTTTGTCATAACCTATTTCTGTCATTAACAAAGTTTAAAAAAAACGATTATATTTAAGTGAAAATTTCAATGTTTTCTGTAATGTAACGAAAATCTTTCGTACACGTGACTACATGGTGGTTATACATTAGCTTTTCTCAGAGACAAATCAACATTTAGTGTCTGTTTAAATAAATGTATAGTTATTAAAAATATATAATACTTTAATTAGAAATAGAAAAAGGCAAGAAAATTTATCGGCCAATTATATTTCTAAATAATCAGAATAATATGACATTCATAAAAATCCCCTTCAATGGAAGTCCCTAACCAAGTATGATGTCATGTAACTTAATTATATATTTATATATATATAAGTGACGAATCACAGCAACAGTTGTTGATAAGGAATTTGAAGAGCAGTCGTCTGTGTGAAATAAGTGAAAATGAGTGGAAATAAAAAATTTCCGCGTAAGTATTTAGATTTATTTTACTAAAGAAATAAAAAAAATATTTCCGCATAACGTTAAACATTTATTTAAAAAAAAATGTGCCCAAAAACATTTCAATCTATTTTTGTTAGGGAATTCATGAGACCGCCAAGCAACCCTGGGGCCACCTCATGGCTCTTTTCGAACTCTGAGGTGTTTTTTATCCACTGTGACTTGTTGAGATTTTTATACTACTGTCAAAACCTCGGTTATAATAATCGTACCAAGAGATATAATACAATGCAATTATTGTAAAAAATAAATGGTATGCCTATCATACACAGACTAATGAAACAGACAATAGCTTAAGATAGTGAATCATATTATTGTTACTTAAAGATAGTGTTATGTGTCTTTTTTAAAATAGCTGGTTAAGACATAGACCTTTCACCGTCCAAGCAAGTGTTAATTGTAACATACAAAAACCTATTTCGATGTTCAAACACCATGAAAACGTAAAATTAGAAATTTTGTTGTGTATATTTCTCGCTTTTCCTGTATTTTTTTTTCGTAATTGTATTTCTTGTACAATAAAAGTAAATAAATCGGAGTAATGAGAAATTAATTTTCTTTAACGGAAATAAACATGTATACACTATTTAATCGCATAAAGATTACGCCCTAAAAGTTAACTAAACTTAGTTATTTATGTTATTTCACGTTAATATCTGGTAAGGAAATTAATTTATTTTATTTAATTAAAACGCGTCCATCGCTTTGATTATTAATTTTTTTTTCAGATTTCATCGCCGCTAATGTTTACCAGAAACCTACTAATTTACTACCTAAACTCCCACCTGGAAAACCCGCGGATGGAAAGAAAACTATCAAAATTCCACAAAATCAAGAAATGAAAACGTGCTAAGAAATTTTTAATTACTTATCTTATGAACGTATTCAAAATGTGTATTTCGATTTCTTGGACCCGATATCATATCAAAGTCATTATCTACATAACATGTTATTTTAATAGACATATTATTATTTTTTTAAATATACTACTTCCCTGCCATTGTGTCCAGGGACTTTTTCTATCTCTGAAATTAAAAAAAAAAATACATCATAATAATTACAATAAACTAGTTCACGAATGGTGTGTTACGCGTCTCGCGAAACACGAATAGAGATACAGATATTAGTACAGCTGCATATATAAGATTAGCTCACCAAATTTATTGAATAAAACACAAATGATTGTAGTAACCAGATATGGAAAAATTAAATTCGTATTAAAAGGCTACTTTGAATATTAAACAAAAAACGTTTCAAGGAGGTTTATATTGCGACGTTTTAGTTTTTTTTGAAAACGTATAAATTGTCCGAGAACGCTTGCCGATTGTCAAATGTTTCTGTTATCTTTAAAAAAATTAATAGACGAAAATGGTTGATAAGACTTTGAATTCGTAATATTTTGTATCGAAATCAAAAGCTGTATTTGTTAGTAATAATAATTTATGATAAATGCGTTTTTATTTCAATAAAATCTGTTAAAATAATATTTATGACAGCTTTGGCTTAAATTTAATAACAAATTCCTTAAGTTTAAGCCAAAGCTGTCAAACGTTGTCAAACAGGACAAGCTAACCGCAGATAATAATTTATATTTACAATTTATCAAACAAGTTTCCGTTTTGGTGGGCGACGCTCGCGTCTGTTACATTTCGAAAATGGATTCATTTACTAAATTTATAAAAAGTGTTTTGCCTCCGGCGGAGCCACGAAGTAAGTATAAATTTTATTTATTTATACACACAAAATACATGGTTACATAAATAAAACAAATGATGAAGTACTGCCCAAGGATATATGGTAATTGAACAAACACAGTATCAATAGACTGCCATGGTCTTCTGAGCAGAGTCGACTGTACATCACGAGGTACAGGAAGAGCGTACCAAATCTTAAAAGGCCGAGAAACTGGCGAGCCTTCTGGCAATGTGGGTCCATGATCGGCGGTATCGCTTAACATGAGATGAGCCTCCTCCAAGGGTTTGTAAGATAATTGTCGGTGTGAGATCCCGTCCGAGCATCGAAGAAGTTCCTAATGGTGGCTGTACCCACACTCGTCGAGACACCCCCCGAGACAGGCCGAGTGCGAGTGTACAATAGAGCTCTCGTCTCGTCTCCCCGCTTCCTCGCAGTTGGTCTCGCCCCCCCTCGGTCACCTGTCGGTTTTTTGCGCACGAGTCAAACGGTCTCGCGAGTAAACGGAGCGACCTGTACACACTCTTCAATCACTTAATTTTGGATAATATTAAAACGTTATGATCCTAATTACCAATTTCTGTTGCGGTGCATAGTCACCATCTTCTTCTTCGCCATGGCTTCATATTTTTTTTTAATGCTAAACGTGAAGAAAATTATAACAACTTATTGCACAAAGAAAAACAGCAGCAGCGGTTTCCACGTCCATTATTAACGGTGTTTTAAATACAATTAACGTAACGAGTGTGTACTGGCTGCGCTCTTCTCTCGGTCCTCTCGGTCAAGACTCCGCGGAGGCCGTCGGTGTGTACAGCCACCATGAAGTATTAGACATTTAGCCGGGCCATGAGAGCCATGGAATAGAGAATAGAAACATCTATTCTGTTAACGTTTATAAGTGTACTTGTTTACCTATAGGAATAGAGTTATTCTGAGTTTGAGTTTATGTATAAGAGAAGTCTGTTAATAAGGAAAACTGATAGTTTTTGTATCCTTATTATTGAGTGCTTTGATTTGCCCAAAATTTTTTGGAAGGCGCAAATAAATTTATTTTATAGCAATTCATTTCGTGGGTTACCGACTAGTAAATAGAAAAATTAAAAATATATATTACACGTAATCAAAAAGGATGTTTAGTTAAAAGAGAAAGTGTGTCGATCTCTGTGTCGTTTGCAGCTAGTCTGTTCCATTTCACATACTTATGAATAACATGGATTTTTCAATAGAGAATAAACCTACTGACCACGCTTATAAGCAGCATTAAAGCAGCAAAAAATTGTTAACTGAACTTTAAAGACACATAGTAAGCTTCCTGAATCTGTTTTCATATATATTTTATCACCATACTATCCATGAAACCTGTCAAAACTACTAATCAAAATTTCAGCTGCTTCTTCGCTCGTGGAAGCCAGGGTGTACCAAAAACCCACAAATCAGCTACCTCCCTCACGAGACAGCTCGCCTCCAGGGACACCTCCAGGATCACCGAAGCCCAAAAAGAAGACCAATGAAAACGAAGAAGAGAAAGATAAATAAATATTATTAACACTTTACAGTATTAGTATTTTAATCGCAAAAGGACTTGCATAGCAGTAAAATTGGATCATAAAATCATTAGATTACATAATCTTACTTTCTGTGTAAATTTATAAAGATAAAATAACAAAATTTCCTCCCAATGTATAACATAGAACATGAAGTGAAGTGAAGTTATAAGAAAATTTAAATAATCATTTGTAAGTGGCCTCAGATTTTTGAATCTGTTTCATGATTGTTGGTGATCAGCCTCATGTTCCTGGCACACGCCGTCAACTTTTTGAGTCTAAGACATGTCGGTTCCTTCACGATGTTTGCCTTCACCGTTCGAGCGAATGTTAAATGCGCATATAGAAAGAAAGTCTATTGGTGCACAGCCAAAGATCGAACCTACGAAATCAGGTATGAGAGTCACACGTTTAAGCCACTAGGCCAACACTGCTCACGTCACGCTCACGCCTTGGACCCGATGTCATATCAAAATCATTACAGATAAAAGTTCTGCAGACATAATTATAATATTGCTAATATATATATTACGTGGGAAGACCACATAAGCGATGGCCTGACGACTTAGTTGAGCTTTCTGGGGAGAATTGGATCGAGGAAGCAAACAACAGATCCACATACAAAGTTAGGCCATTATTGGACTTGGATTGGACAAAACTAAAGCCAAAATACGTTTGTGCCAGCGTGCGATAGAAAGAAGTATTTTCGGAATTAAATTACGCGACAAACAAGAGAATATAGTCGCAGAAAAACAAAACTAATTGATGCCCTAAAACTTAACTGGAGATGGGCAGGACACGAAGCCTGAAGAATGTTATACAGATGGTCTGAAACAGTAACCGAATAGACTGGTCCAAAAGGAAAAGGAACAAGGGCAGACCAATAGAGCGATGGGCCGACGGGATCGAAAGGGTAGCTGGAAGAAATTGGATGACGATGGCAAAAAATAGTTTAGAGTGGAAAAAGTTGGAGGAGGCCAACTCCGGACAGGGGCCGTATCTTAGAGTAGTTAAAATTGTATTTATATATGTTTCTGTTAAATGTATATCAATAAGATGTGGATGAATAAAGAGTTATTATTAATATTTCTATATTTTATGGTTAAAACAAACTAGAAGACTACCTACACTATATTTATGATATAAAGTAAAATATGTCTGTCTAAACAACCAATAGAAATGTGAAAATTATAAAAACAGAGATTACGAGTCTTCACCCGTAAATCTGAACGCTTACTGTGTGTACAAGAGATATATCTAAGCTATCACTGCGCGACAATGTAGCATTATTTTGTCGGAATTATCAAACTTAAAAGTTTCAGATATTAGTACAGCTGCATCTATAAGATTAGCTCACAAAAGTTATTATTAAAACACGGTTGATTGTAAAACCCAGATATCGAAAAACTAAACATTCGTTTTAAAGGGCTACATGAATATTAAACAAATAAAAATATGTTTCAAAGATGTTTAGATTGCGACGTTTAAGTTTTTTTGATAACGTATAAATTCTCCGAGAACGCTTGATGATTGACAAATGTTTCCGTTATCTTTTAGTGTATTTATAAACGAAAATGGTTGATAAGAGTACAAGTTCGAAATCAAAAGCTGTATCTGTTAGTAATAATAATTTATAAATAAGAACATTCAACAACAAATTTCTTAAGTTTAAGTGAAACATGAATAAAGTTGTCAATCGTTATCAAATACTACAAGCGGTTAGCTGGTAGATAATAATTTATATTTATAATTTGTCAAACAAGTGTCCGTATTGGTGGGCGACGCTCGCGTCTTAAATCACGAAAATGGATTCATTTATTAAATTTTTGGAAAAGGTAGTGCCTTCAAGTCGTAAGTATTACTTTTATTTATTTAGACATATTATACATAGTTAAATATAAAAATACAAATAAAAAAGTAATGCCCATAATATATCGTCCCTGTAAAGCGAAAACTAATTAAGACAAAAAAAATCCAAAACGAGTTATCTATAAAGCCGGTAAAACGATTTTTTTTTCTTTATTTAACTAACCGTTAATTTGGTAGGTATCTTAGCTTCCGATTTACGAAGAATGAAAAGTAAATAAATCTATTCTTTGGTCTAAATAGAAAATAAGAGAAATAACTTAATCATGTTAACTATTTTTTATTTCTCAAAAAATTACATAGCTTAAGAAATCGAAATTTAATTACTTACTAATGCTTATTCGTACCTTGACATCGAAAAAACAAGACAGTTTATGTTCCGCGTGACCTTAGCGGTTATCAGATTTCGTTCGTAAAATTGTATGAAAATTCGTACCATGACCGCTCGGCTGAACCAAAATTTGACCGTTGCGCCTTCAAACTATGACAGAATAAGCGACTCTATAAAAGTTACTTTTTGTTTAGTTTAAATAATAAAATATTTAACTAAAACTTGTTTATTTAGTTAAAATAATAAAATACATCAAAATATAGCATAATTAATTACACACCTAAACCTTCAATTGGAATCCGTGTTATAGGTAAAAACTGCAAAATTAGCCACCGCCTAATTCTTCATTTTACAATAAATAAGAATGTAGTCATTAGTAGATATTTATTATAATGAAACTTTTCCTCATTATGTTTATCAATTGTATTATTCTCTTCATTTGTTTTTGTTGGTTAAATAAATAGAGGTATTTTTCAAATGTAATATGTAAACAATTAGCCGTTTGAAAAAAATTATAATAACAGTATTTATTTAGTTAGGATGACGCCATCCAGATAGAAAAAGATCTCTTCAGGCAATGTTCAATATATATACATATTTTATTGTCTCTCAATTCAGCGAGTCTGTCAGGTTTAAGCTGTAAAGAAAATATAATTATTTATATTATATGAATTAGTAAACGTATAAACTAAATTTGCAAAATTTTAAGGAATTAATTTTTATTATAGTAACCTATGATTTTCGAGTTTTAATTTGATTTGTAATATCTTTTGCAAAGTGTAATATATTATACCAGGAATTCACTTCGGTATTTATTTCTGGTGAACAAATTTTGTGAACTATACTTTAAATATTTATTTGTAAAAAAATTTGTAAAATTAGAATATTTAGAAAACCAAAACATTGAAAGCTTCTAATGCGCAATTAAATCAACATTTGACGGTGTATAAAAATAATAAGTGTCAACTATCATAGCACAAAAAAACTTTACATTTAAAATATACCAAAAGAATAGTTTTATATTAAATAAATAAAAAAATATATATATATATATAAGATATAAGATAATATAATAATAATATATATATAAGATAATAATATTTTCAAAATATATTAAAAATCACTTCAAATTTACAATCAATTATACAGTATTTACAATTTTCTTAACCTACAAAGTAATAATAAAAATATTTAAAAATTATTAAAAAGAAAATCAAAAGAAATTTAAAAAGTTTGGTCCCTGTGGCAGTGTACCTCTAACGCTGGCAGCATTTCCTCGCTGTAAATATATTCTTATCATAATAAATAATTTAAATAGGTATATATTGAAAACATGTATATATGTCTCACATTCAAGCCGTATATTATAATTTGTTTTTATATTAAGCTTATTGTGATTGATAAATAATTTAAAATAATTATATATTTTATTTATTTTATAGAAACATTAGTCCAAGCAAGTTTTACAGTTAAATTTCAAAACTTACATACCTCAAACAAAATTATCGTTCTTTCATTCGGTCTTGCGATGCCATTACGTTTTAGCTAATTGGCGGTCATGGTACGAAAAATGCCATTGACTCTAGGTACCTAAACTCATCAGCATCTCAACTGGATTGTTTTAAGTAAACTCATGGTAGGCCCCCAGTTCTTCTTACCAGCTCTACGACCTTGATTTGCGAACTAGTAGTAAATGTAAATTTAGGATCAATTTAACATCTTTTCTGTTGACGTTTATAAGTGTACTTTGAATAAAGTTATTTTGAGTTTATGTTTGAGTTTATGTTTGAGTTTATGTTTGAGTTTATGTATAAGAGAAGTCTGTTAATAAGGAAAACTAGATAGATAGATAGTTTTTGTATCCTTATTATTGAGTAACGATTCTATGATTTGCGCATAATTTTTTGGAAGGCGCAAATGATAAAGTCTTATAACAATTCATTCCGTGGGTTAGCGACTTGTAAGTAGAAAAATTAAAAATATATATTACACGTAATAAAAAAGAAGGTTTAGTTAAAAGAGAAAGTGCCTAAAATCCAATATATATACACTAGGATTCTCTGTGTCGTGGGCAGCTAGTCTCATCCATTACACATATTTATGAATAACATAGACTTTTTAATAGAGAATAAACCTACTGACACGCTTATGTGCTCATAGCAGCAAAAATTTGTTAACTGAATTTTAAACACACATAGTGAGCTTGCTGAATCGGTTTTCATATATATTTCATAGTAGCTGGCCTGGCGAACATCGTACCGCCTAACAGTCGATTCTTTATTTTTTTAAATACTTATTCTGCTATTCGGGACACCGGTCTAGCTAGTAAGATAAAAAAAATTGATAAGACAACAAATACATTATGTTAAATATTAATTTGAACCTCACTAACACTTGAACTTTATAAATGGTAATAAATTCAAATTGACTTTTAATCATTATTACAATATTTTGCAGCGAATATAGAAAATATTTTTTTGACTGTTGACCATTTTTTTATTTTCTCCCGTAAGAACCATCCTCGTACTTCAAGGAATATTATAAAAAAAGAATCAGACAAATCGGTCAAGCCGTTTTAATGTTATGTCGTGACAACGGAAAACGAGTTTCATTTTTATATATATAGACTAGTGGACCCCACAGACGTTGTCCTGCATGATATTTCAACATTAGGATATTAAAGTATGAAATACCGACTGCAGCGCCACCTGCCGGGCTAATTTGTGAATCTAAACCATTCCCAGTCCCCTTGAGCACCCACAAAAATGGACAAAATCGGTCCAGTCGTTTAGAAA